CAATTGGCTCCGGCGGCTCATATGTTCGTTGCCGCTTTTGTGGCGCGGTGTGAGGATGTGGGCCTCACACCCACGATTGATCTGTTTTTCAGCTGCTTCCAGTGGCGTGCTTCTAGCTTTTTCGCCTTACTCTCCCAGAGGCCGGTGAGCAAACTGTTTCGATCGGGTTACCCCCGTTCAGGGAAAGGGTGGAAGAAGAGATGGATATGGGTATCCGACCCCAACCTCCTGTCGCCTCTGCCTCGGTGGGGTGAACGGGTTCGGAAGTGTGACCGGGTCGCTCTCTCCCCTGGTCTCAAGTCCTCCATCGAGATATTGTCCGCAGGCGGTCCCCACTCCATCAGCTCATATTTAGGTGACTGTCATCTGTCTGGTCTATGTTTGCTACTTTGTATTTTATCCTGCTTATCCTCACATTTTTCTTCCGCAGCTGTGCCTGAGAAGCTTGTTGTTGAGGCGGAATCTGATGAAGAGGAGGAGCCTCAACAAGTCGTCGTTCCTGTGGCAGCAACGGCTGCAAAGGGGAAAGGGCACGGAGCCCCCCCTCCAAGAAGGGTGAGAGTTACCTTCGGGCCTCGGCCAACTACGCCAGTGCAGGAGAAGCACAAGGGCGGACTCGTCGATCTGCTAGTCCAATTGGATGGGTCCGATGAGGAGGAGGAGGAGGGGCCCTGCCCCGCCGTTGCTGATGTGGCCCCCAAGACGGTTGCGGGGAAAGAGCGCGGAGCCTCCTCCCCGGGCCGAGGGGAACGAGTCTCGAAGAAGGCCAAGGTCGCCCCCAAGTTTCCTTCCGCTGAGCAGGTATATGAGGGTGCAGATGAGAGGATGGCCGAACGGAGCAGCCATGACACCCAGCATACAGTTACTTACGCCTTCCCATCTTCGAGTGCCTCAATTATGCATGAAGGCTTCCCGGTCATGGATTATGCTTCATCAATCCTCCCACCAGGCGACCTCACCTGTGCGACTTCCCAAGAGTTTCATCCCCTCTTGGAGGGTTCTATCCGGGCACATATCGAGGTAGGTTGATCACGTTTTGGTGTGGATTGTGTTTATCCCTGAACCCCCTCACATTTTCGTTTGTCTATCTTGCAGGGGCTCACCAAGACCATCAGGGCACTTCACGCAGCCAATCATTTTCGTTTGTCTCTCAATGAAAGCACCAATGTTGGTCCAAAATAGGACGCTCGTAGGCTTTTAGGAAAGCTACGTACGACACTCAAGCAAGAATTAGGAAAGTACGAATATGGAAAGTTAGCCAGAAATAGCATATCTGTATTTGAAATTCGAATTGCCTTTTATAGGCGATTACAATTGGTAACTGCCGAACATAATAATGACTAAATTAATTACAACGTTAATACAGAATTAAACACATAATTAAGTCGCGCATTGATTGTTGGCCGTTACTCTTCCTGGCTGGCAGGTCAGTCTGGCTGGCAGGCTGGACGCTTGAGCTCCCTCCTGCTGGACTGGACGGTGGGCTTCCCGCTAGGCTGGAGGAAGGCTTCTGACCGGACTGGAGGCAGGCTCCCGGGTAGGCTGGACCGCAGGCTCCCAGTTGGGCTGGACCGCAGGCTCCTAGCTGGACTGGTGGTCGGCAGGCTCCTGGCTAGACTGGAAGGCAGGCTCCCCACTGGGCTGGAAGGCAGGCTCTCCACTGGACTGGAAGGCAGGCTCCCGGGTAGGCTGGACCACAGGCTCCCAGTTGGGCTGGAAGGCAGGCTTCCGGTTGGGCTGGACCGCAGGCTCCCAGCTGGGCTGAAAGGCAGGCTCCCCACTGGGCTGGAAGGCAGGCTCCCCACTGGGCTGGAAGGCAGGCTCCCCACTGGGCTGGAAGGCAGGCTCCCCGCTGGGCTGGAAGGCAGGCTCCCCGCTGGGCTGGTCGACAGGCTCTCTTGGGCTTCCGCTCCTTGATTGCCCTGATTGGTTGGGCCGACTCGAGCTCTAGGTTGCTGGGCTTGGGCCCACTGGTCCAAGTTCGGGGCCTGGGCCGATTAGGCTCTGGGCCTGGTCCCATAACCCCATCACCAAGTATCCTTTGTGTGTTGAGTTATTTCCACTCTCTGTTTCTACTGCTTCCCACTTCTCTTCACAACTTCCTGCATTTGATTTAAATGTGGCTGCAAATGGTGAATTTGATGATCTTGAAGACACTTCTATCATGCATCATCACACATTTTATATTTCTTCTCCTCAAACTGAAGATATGTCTTTGGATATGTATGCTACGAATGATGATAATTCAGTTCAGTGTGATGATACAAATCTATTACCTACACACATTTCTGGTTCTAGCAATGCAGTTTCTTCACCTACATCTTCAGGCAGTGAAGATCTTGCTATTAATGAATACTTTGATTTAGACCATTTTCATGATTTTCAAGATATTCATGTAATTTGTCACTTTCATCCTACTCGTATTGCTAAAGATGCTATCTATCAGGATAAGAAATCATTAGCCCATCATTTGAAGATATATGCCATTTTAAATCTTTTCCAATATCAAACAAGGACATCAACTAGAAAAGTCTTACATGTTGTTTGTGTTGATGATGAGAATTGTGATTGGGCTGTACGTGCAGTGAGGTTGAGTGGATGTCAAATGTTTCAAATAAGAAGGTAATTTATTCATTTATGTTACTCAACTGAACATTTACAATCTGATTTTGTACTATTTTTAATTTATTGTCTAATCACTGTCTTTTTAATGACTCCTTAATGTTATACAACTTCCAGATTTGATTCTGTGCATACATGCTCACTTGATGTGAGACAAGGTCCCCACCACCAAGCTACCACAGAAATTATTGCTGAACTCATCAAACACAGATATGCGGATGCATCTAGAAAACCTTATGCTCCGAAAGACATTATTGTTGATTTAAATAGAGATTATGGTTTGACTATACCTTACAAGAAAGCTTGGCTTGCAAACAAGAAAGCTCAAGAAAAGTTGATGGGTTCAGATGAGCAATCATATCAATTGTTACCCTCCATTGCTTATGTTCTTAGAAAGAAGCATCCTGGTTCATTGATTTTGTTAGATGTTGGGGCACATAATCGGTTCAAGTCTTTCTTCATGTCGTTGAATGCATGGATTCAAGGCTGGAAGCATTTTGTTCCGGTTCTTATAATTGATGGCTCATTTATGAAAGCGTATTACAAGGGTACTCTATTGACTGCATGTGCTCAAGATTCTAACAACCAGATTTTCCCTTTGGCTTTTGGTGTGTGTGATACTGAGCGAAGGAAAACATAGACTTGGTTTTTTATGAAACTGAAGGAGTGTCTTTCATATAGGGAGGACTTGTATATTGTTTCAGATCGTCACGATGGTATTATACATGCAGCAAAAGTGGTGTTTCCGCATGCTGAACATGGCTACTGTGCATACCATATCCTAGGAAATATTAGATCAAAGTTCAAGGGCTCTACTACAGGTCTTGCATGGAAGTTTAATCAAGCTGTTAGGGCTGCCACTCCTACTCAATTTGAAGAGTATATGGCTTTATTAGATGCAGAAGATCCTCGTATCCGTGATTATTTGAATGAAATAGGTGTTGAGAAATGGGCTCGCTGTTTTGCTACTCGTTCTAGGTATTCTATAATGACATCTAACAACGCCGAGTCAGTGAATTCAGTGGACCGTGTGCCTCGTGAGTATCCTATAGCAAAACTGATAGACTTCTTGCAGGGAAGGATGCAAAAATGGTTTTGTGAACGTCGTGATTTTTCATCAAGTTGTAAAACAATTCTGTCTGCCCATTTTGAATCTCAACTTCGTTCATATCATGCTGAGGCATCTCTTATGAGTGTAACTGTCAACTTCGTTCTTACCTTCTGCCTTTTAGTGCATTGTTATCTTTTTGTTCACATCATCTTTCTACACTAATGCTTTAATTGTAACTACTGTTAACAATTTTTTCCTTGTTTTAGGTCAATCCTGCTAGTCAATATGAATTTGAAGTGGTGGACAAAACATCGAGAAGCTTTGTTGTTAATTTGAAAGACAAGACATGCTCATGTTGTGAATTTCAACTTGATCACTTTATATGTGTACATGGAGTTGCGGTTGTAGGTCATCGTCGAGGTTTATCGTGCTATGATTACATCTCAAAGTTTTATTTCACACGTGAGTGGGTTGCTGCTTATATAGGCGAAGTTCACCCTCTTGGTTCTCGTTGTGATTGGGGTGTTCCTGCCTCTGTGGCATCTGAAATCTGCAAGCCACCTACGTGCCTCACACGCCAACCGGGTAGACCTAAGAAGAAGCGTATTCCTTCAATTGGAGAGTTTGGTTCCAAGCAGCGGTGTACACGGTGTAAGAAAGGCGGCCACAATAAGAAGTCTTGCAGAAATCCTATCCCAGTCTGTGCTTCATAGTTTTATGTTCTTTTGTTATTCATACTGACTTTATTGATTGTTAAAATGCAACCAAGTTGTTGCTGTGATGAACATTATTGTCTACTTATGTAGTACGTAATGTCTACACGAAGACCATAATTACACTCTTTGTTAGTGAATCTTTAAAAGTGACATCTGTAATTATATCTTGCGTTTTGTCTTTCTTCTTTACTAGTATGATTCAACTATCAGAGACCTTACTTTTGCATGGACACTAAAATTAGTTACACACATAACTGAACAATAGCACCAAGGAAGTTCACTATTGTGTTATTGTAAGCTTCTTCCTCACATGTTCAACAATCTTCATAGCTGGATGGTATTATGAGACATCATGAAGAATATTCTTGCGTAAGATTTTTGAGAAATCAAATTCTCAGAAAATAAATGTCATTGAAATGTAACGTATATGACTTGAATTTTTAATGTGTAGAACTGAGATATTAATGACTAATTACTGTCCAAATATGGACTTTATGAAATACTTTAACCAGATTTCGCAAAACAACTTCACATTAAACAGAGGCTAAAAGCGAACAAGCATCACATATGTTGCTAAACATGTAGATTACACATAGTCAAACCAACTGTCTTGAATACTTAGTAACAATACTTAATGACCAAAACAAAGAAATTTCAGAAATATTTATGTTCCCAACAAAATACTTATTACAAAGCATCTAGTCCAACTACTGCCTTCGTGATGCATACATCAGTAGCTCTGTCGTCATCTTTTGTCGGTACATCTCTATGTCTTGCTTTGAAACTTCACTCACATCTTTGTCCATCATGAGAAACTCAGCAAATTTGATAATAAAGACACCACAATTGCCCCTGTAAATGCATAAGTATTCAATATGAAGTTAAACATTTATGATGTATTCATATATGTGAAGAATAGTTAAATTATAACATGACATACCCATCATCTTGTTGTGGACAATTACGGACTATATCTAAACGAATTTTTCCCTTTCCGATTTATGCATTCGGTCTTTTATCATAAACTCCCAACCTCTCCATTACTCTTGGTAAGAAGGTCTCCAAGCAAGGAAGGAATGCCCTCATCGTTGCCAAGGAATCTCCTCTTCTCTTTAGGGAGTCATAGACTCTGATACGTTTTCCATTAATGTCCAACACCAAGAGTATCCAGTGCATCCCTATGTTTAGTGGCATGTATACAAAGTCAGCTTCTTCCCATGGCAGCCCATTTGATCCAAGCATTGTGTTCATTATGTTTCTATTAGAAGCTGCCTCAGTCATTGTTATTTTGTCATTAGTGACCATTTCACACTTCAACTTCATCACCCCAATAAATAATGGGTCTGTTGTGGCATATTTTTGCTTGATTTGGTATTGTTTTCTTTTCACCGCCAGGTAATAAAATGCCACTGCAATATGCTGAAAAAAGTAACAAAATCAATTAATTATTGATTTGTATGCATCATATTATTATAATTTACATGTGACATATGTTGATATAAACTTACGATGTCAGACAACCAACGTTCATTTGTGAAGAGGTCATAAATCCATGTCTTTGTTGGTATGGTGAAATGATCTAATTGTATACCAAACTTGCATTCAACTAGTTCTTCATGTTTTCTTTTGTACTTTTTGGGGACATTACTTGAATGGTTTTTTACCAGGCCCTCCATCACAAATTCTTTTACCTTATCCAAGTCCTCTGTCGGTGGCATTTGCTTTGGATCCTCACTGAATGGTCCTTCAACTGTACTCTTCTCAGAAACTTGTGTTTCATTTATTTTTTTTAATGCCTTTTCCATTTTCCTTTTCTTCATTTCTGTTGTGGGGTTAGGAGTGTATCTATCAGGACTCCTAGCAGCCCTTTTTGACCTTTTAATGCCCTTATCTTCTTCTGCAATTTGAACTTTATGTCCAGCCTATGCATTTACAACTTCCTCATCAGTTCAAAAATTCACTTTATCAATCATGTTGTCTATTCTACTTTCATTTTGAACTTTTGAAATTTAAAGTAACTACTTACCTTATCTTTAGAATTGTGAGCATCCATGTTCTCTTGTTGTCCTTTCTCTTTATTTCTTTCATCACATTTATGTGATTCACTGTCTGCTTCAATGTTCTGTTCTCCATCTTGTTCAGGAGTTGTTGTTTCTTTTGAATCACCAGCATCAACAGTCATTGCTTCATGTTCCTATAATAACATAATAAAAAATGGTCAAGTCAATCATTACATAAATAAATTTATTACACAAATAGCAATTACCTTTGTTTGCTTCAAGTCCTTAATGACATTATGAATGGCACTGTCAACATGCATTTCCAACTCTTGTGTGTTTATGCTTGCTTGAGCAGGAGTGAGTATCATGTCATCTTCATAGATTGCTGAATTCTCTTTTTGGGCACATATGGGATTTGCATCCTCACTTCGAAGTTCTTTCTTATCCTCAATGTCTAGACCTTCAGCCATCTCACTGCCTATACCACCTTCTGCCTCCTCACTTCCTAGACCTTCTGCCTCCTCACTTCCTAGACCTTCTGCCTCCTCACTTCCTAGACCTTCCGCATCATCCTCACCGCCTAGAGCAGCTTCATTATTTTCTATTGTTCTTTCCTTCTCTTTCTGTGTTAGATCCAGATGTAGGTCAAAACTTGGCATATCTGAGACCAAAATTGATTTATCTATTCCTCCTTCCGATGCTTCATGAATCTGCACATGGATTTCTTCTTCGCTTTTTTCACCTTCTGCATTTTCAGTGCTTTTAAGCATTAAAGCTTTCAGCATCTTTGCCTGCTGCTTTTGCCCTTTCAGAACTTCTTGTATTCCATCTTCTATTGTTTTCATTCTTCTCTCAAACTTTTGCATCTTCTTTGATTGGAGCACCACTGCAGCCATTATGTTACGCATGATTGTTGCATCTCTGCTTTGGTTGCCAACATTTTTTTTTCTTTTAATCAAACTATTTAACCTCTTTAATCCAATTGCAGTTGGACCCTTGGCAATTTGTTCCTTCAATTCAGTATCTTCTTCATTAGGGCAATCAATCTGTGCTGCTTCAAACTCCTTTTCATGAACATGCCCATTTTCTTCTTTACTCCCTTCCACAGAAACATTTCTTTTCTGTTTTGCTAGCCCACATTTCAAAGTAAGACGACCTGTTCTGACAGGCTTATTGACCTTGTTTGCATAAGAAGCATTTATCAATGGATTCTTAAGCTCGTCTTCAGTTGGTACCATTTTCTGATATTCAAACTGCAGTACAAAAAGAAATTATGCATACAATTAGTTAGTGCACATCATAAAGCGTGAATTTAAATTACATATAACACAGACATTAAAAACAATCTTACCTCTTCATTCAGAAATATGACATCTGCTAGTGTTGCAACATTAGTTTTCTTCGGTGCAGACCACTTCAGCAATCTAGGAAACAAATCTTTCCTTTCTTCCTCTAACTGGCAAACATGTGCCGTTCTAAGAGCTGGGAAACTTTCAAATGCCCATATTTGCAATGCAAAGACAAAACCTGGAAATGTGAATCTGTCTTTTGTGGCCCTTTTAATATTTTCTGTCCACTTAGGCACTTTTTCCAATAAATCTTCCCAGATTTCATCTCCCCAAGGGTACTGGTTCACTAAATCAAGATTATCTACCATGTTGATGTAGATTGCTGGGCATTTCACTGTCTTTTGGTTTCCAATTATGTAATTGGAAATCAGGTCAAGAATAGCCAGTTTTACCCTATCTAAGGGCTGCTTCTCTACAGGTATATTATCGAACTCTTCAAAAGCTCTACTTATGTCAGCCCTTGTAACATTACTTCTTCCATTGAAAAACCTTCTCCATATGTCACCTATTACATTTGTGGGTATTATTGGTTTCTCTCCTCCCATCTTGAACCCCGTTATTAATGCCAGTTGTTCCTTTCTAAAAGCTACCAACCTATTTCCTATATTAAAGTAAATTCGGTCTTTCCAAGTCTTCTTATTAACCTTTTTGACATGGTTTTCTACAAGCAGAACAAGCAGTTGTCCATTCATCCACTCTAGGTTACCTATTTCCAGCAATCCACCAAATGTGCTTTTTCTGAATTCTTCAAGTTGGTCCTCCTTTAATAGCTTCCTTATGGTTTCAGTGGCAGTATGTACATTTGAATAACAGTTTAACTTTAACTTCTTCTTCGTCATAAGAATAGGGTTTGTGCAAGATCTAACAATTGCCTGACATTTTAGTATTAATAATTTCTATAAGTACTATAATCATAAGGCATAATTGGATAACAATACTCAATTTATAAATTTGAATTTACTATCTTATAGCACAACTCATATATTGTGTAATCTAACATCAAATGCTTCATATCTTAAGTCATATGAAATAAATGATATGTTAACTGTTGCAAGCATGTATGGACAAAATCAAATAAGGTATAAAACATATTCAGTATTTATAACATGATTAACAATATCTCATGTATATACTGTCTACCAACTACACACATAGTGGGGGGTCTATATACAGCCTACTAAGTTAAGTCATATAATTCCTCACATATCTACCTCTCTGTCCTTTTTTATTCATTTCTTATATAATAAAATATGACATATGTAAGACAAGTAGTCACTAAGAGAAATACTCATACAATCAATGGAAATTTATACAAATAGGACCAAATCTATTACTGACTACAAATACGAACTGATTACATTTGGTCAAATATGAAGTAAACAGTAAGAGAAGTAGATAATTTGGTCAAATACAAGTAGTCATATAATAATTTTCAATAACTTACACATTTATTGACAATTTCATATGAGAAGTAAACAGTAAGAGAAGTAGATAATTTCAGTTGCATATTTCATCATAATCTCCCAAAATTGAATCGAACAACTTACTTCACCAGACGGAAGAACAATTTCAACGTTTTCAAAGTTTTGTGCCTTTGATTTGTTAGGGCTCCTTGTTTCAAAATCACTGTCAGATTGACCTTGTTCAACTTCTTCAGTTTTTTCAACGTGTTGAGCCTCTGATTTCTTCTTTCTCTTCGCCATTCGTTTGACTTCACTGACTTCGTCGCCTGTAGTAATCACGCGGCGTTGCCCGGCGTTGCTTTGAAGGAGAAGGTCGAAGTTGTGGTTGAAGAAGGTGAAGTGAATTTTCCGTTGGGAAGTTATGGCGTGAAGTTCTGGCCGTGCAGGAAGTTTTTAATGTTTTTGGGGTGCGGGAAGTGGTTAGCGGCAGGGTGTTTACACGTGGCGCAGGAGTTTTAAAAGTAAGGGCATAATGGTCAAATTGATTGTACTTATATCCTACGCATGAATGGAGTCCTACTTTTGGAAATTTCTTATGTTTGTCTCCTATTTGTATAATTTTCCCTTGTGTGGCACTGTTTTGCACTGTTTTGTTTCCTAAAATGGAAGTGTGAACTTAAATAAGGGACATCCCAAAAAGGAAAGTGGGAACTTTAATAAGAACCGGAGGGAGTATTATTTAGTTTGTATTATTTAGGATGAATTTCTACCGTGCATCGCACGGATGAAGTACTAGTAATAATAATAATAAGGCTCTAACTACTCCACGTCTCTAGCTTCTCTATGTAGAAGATTTTAAAAACCAAAAATGCTACTTCTACACGCCGACTTACACGCGCGTGTAAACGTTAAGCGTATTTTGTCTGTGCATAGATAATTGGTTTTAATTTTAGTAAAGAGAATTGTGTGTGATCCCGAACTGTCTGTGCACAAACAATTCACTTTTTCTATGTCACAGAACTTTCTCTTTACTAAAATGATAATCAATTGTCTGTGCTTAAATAAAATACCTTTGGTGTGTACACGGGCGTGTACAAGTAGCATCATTGTTAAAAAAAACTTAGGTAAAAATGTGTTCGGAAAGACTACTTCCAAATCATTTTTTAATTATTTATTAATTATGACTCCGTATAAAAATTCATTTGGATCAGAATCTCTCCTTCCGAATAATGTTATTAGGAAACCAGAAAAAATTCTAACTCGTTGCCTTTTCCCGTATTTTTAGAAATTACCCTAGATTTTTATATTCTCTTTTGGTTATTATTACATTTGTTTATTGGTTTATTATTTTTTCGTTTAAGTATTTTTAGGTTCGAATTAATTTAGGTTGTCTTCTCTCGCGTTTGTGGATACACGAAATTTTTAAGTTGCAACTCATGTCTAGAGTCGTCTAGGCGATCTGATTTTTCACCTTTTAAAATATTAATTTTTATATTAAAATATCAATGACTTATTACCCGCAGTTACATATACCCGTTCCTCGTTCGGTCAATTATGATTTGGATAAAGATTACCTGTTGGATAATGATGGGGTGGTTACGGACGGTGAAATTACCCAACGGAGCGGGTATGATTATATGCATAACTGTACGCCTGAATCGCCCCGATGCCATCTCTACTTGAATTGGTAGAATCAGTTTAAATTGGTGAGATAGTGACTGAAATGGCTGAATTGGTTGAAACTTCTGAATTATGAAAGCAGTTAAAATATGTTTTATCAACAAATATGAAATAAATTACATGAAAATAGCTAAAATAGTCATCTTCCTTGAATATAGTCAAATTAATCAGAAAGAAAACTTCAACCTTTACCTATTTTAACTGAAGTCCGATCATATTTATGATCCAATTGGATTTTTCTTATCTTCTGGTAGTGTTGATTTTGTTCTATGGCAGTTCTTTCCCGAGACTGGTGCTATGGGGCAGTTCTTTCCCGGGCACTGGTGCTCGGGCGTGTTTGTCATTCAGCGGTTAGCGGTTAGCGGATAGCGGGTTATGTTAACGGGTTGTCAATAGCGTATTTAGTCAACGGGTTTGACTAGCGAAATAAATTAGCGGGTTGTCAAAAGATGTTTGGTAATTTAGCTGTTTGACCATAAAATTAGTTGAAAATGTCATTTTTCAAAACGCTGACCCAAAACTCTCGTTTTAGCAGTGTTTTCATTTCAGCCTTTTCGTCCAAAAACGCTAGTGCCGAACAGCTATTTACTAAACAACTTTTTCACTTATTGAAAACGCTGAAAGTGGTCAAACCACCATTTTTCGGCTGAAATGCCATTTACCAAACATCCCCTTCTTCTAGAGTGCATAGACATTGGTAGAGTTCAGCCTCCTCTAGAACCACATCTGTGTCATGAAGAATTTTGAAGAAAGTTTTAATTTCAATTCTATTTTGCATTAGTAGTATTTGCCCTTAGTCACTCTACATTTTGCTAGAGTTTTACTCTTAGTCACTCTACATTGTGCTAGAGCCTTGCTCATAGTCACTCAACATTGTGCTAGAGCCTTGCTCTTAGTCACCGTTACACGTGCTAGAGCTTGGTTCTTCGTCACGTTACTAAGTCTCTAAGCAATCTCTGTGCCTAGACTCAATTCATTTTGAGTAGCCTTTAAGACCTACTCCTAACATATCTTAGAGCTCGTACATTTTGACCTTAAAGTATCTCTTAAAACTACTTAAGGCATCACTATTCACAATGCAATCTCTTAGAATTAATTCCATCATTCTTCGTATTGATATCTCGACTAGTATTTCAATACTAGTCGAATAATCTTAGAACAACCAAGTTCTTAATTCATAGACAAATAATTTGTTCCAATTGATTTTGCAATCCAAATATAATTTAATCTCAATATCAAAATATCACTTTTATCCATTCATGAATTCTTTACATGAAGTAAAAGTATATTTTAGGGAAAAAACTGAATAATACTAAAAGACATGAGTTTTTTCCCAAAGTATGACTCCAATTGTGTTTTTATCTTCCGTATGACTAAATACTTTATGCCATACATGGGCGCCTGAATTAATGCCAATAAAATACCGCAAATGCCCTTCAAATTAAGTAACACAGTAGGAAACCGAAAAGGAACAAGCGACAAACCCGCGTCGTAAAATTGGGCCTTTTAAAAATGAGGAAGACGACTCCGAAGCGTGGAAACAGAGCAGTAGGGAAGCAGGAGAAACGAACCCAAGCTTCAACAAAGCAGGCGACCACTGAATCTCACGTTATTACTGTCGACGGAGTGGTACGTTTACCTTTTGTTCTCTGTATTTAAGATGAATTTTGAAAGGTCAAAAAGAGGGTGATGTTTATGGTATCTCGTAATTGCTAAGACAGAAAATACTTTAGTATGTATTGGTTGGTAATTGACTGAAATAAATATGTGTCGGGGGTTTTTACGCTTGAGGCAACAATAAGTAGACGATCGGGGCATTTCCTCTAGAGCGGTAATTGGATTCGAGAGTAAACGTGAGCAGAAGAGAATGTGATATATCAGTAATTCAGGGAAGTATGTTGTATAGATAATTTGAGGTAATTAGGCACATGTAGAATTGGGGTTTGGTAAGGTGGAGCATGTATTGAATTGTTATAGGGCTATGACAGTAGGGCAGTAATGGGGTTAATTGAAAAGGAGAATACACCATTTACAGGAATTAAATAGGACAGTAATGGTGTTAAATGGAAAATAGAATACACCATTTACATGAATCGAATAGGGCAGTATACTTACATCTTCTATGCTCACTTAAAAAGAGCAGGTGAAATAAACCTAGGCAGCTAGGCCTTGGAAGCCCTTGAAATTGGTTTCATGTGTTTGGGTAGGCTACACCAGATACACGAATAGAATACACCAGATACATGAATAGAATATGGCAGTAATATGACATCTGTTTGAAAAGAGAGAAAAATAATGCAGTTTGTAAAAATTAATTTTTGAAAATTCAACCATATTAGGGAATAGTAGTTTTGGAAAAGGTAGTTATGTTGGAAATAACATGTTTGTATAAGAAATAATATTGCACTACGATTGAAAGAAGTTTTGGAACAGGTACTAAATTTGGACAGTAATGTACGACAATAATGTACTGTAATGTAATGTTTGCAAATGGACGTACTATGCAATTTTGTATGAAACTATTATTGTTATATATTGCAGGAGTATGTGAAGATAACTGAGTATGATAACTTTGTGTTGGAAAAATCTATGAAAATAAATTCTTATTGTAATCCAGTAAAGGCAATGGAGAGTATAAGGAGCTATTTAACTGAAGATGAGCTCAAAGAATTCAGGAAATCAGTGTACGGTTATTTACTTGACTTGGGAAACATACCTTGGGTAAATGGGCAGTTGTTAATCCTACTCTACACCAATCATGTTGAGCGTTTGAATACAGGGAAGGGCAACACAAAGCTGGAATTTTTTATTGGTAACAACGTTGCATGTTTTACAAAACAGGACATGTCTTTAATTATCGGGTTCCCGTTTGGTACACAGAAGGAAATAACATGCATTCAAGCTCCAATGGAGTTGTGGAGAAGATACTTTTTTGGAATGAACATAGTTGCATGAAGAGTCATTAAAAGGGTTTTTCAATCAGGGAAACCAAGAGAGAGTGGAGCAGAGTCAATGGACGCGGTAAAGCTTGGGTTATTGCATGTCTTAGGCAGTCATATTCTAGGAAATCAATCATCAACAAAGCTCCCATCGATGTACATTAATTTGGTAGATGATATCGAAAAGTTCAATAAATATCCATGGGGTGATGTTGTGTGGGATGATCTACATAAACAAGTAAGGAAGTGTGCGGGTGTTCTTTACCAGGAGCCATCTGCAAGATTTACATTTCCAGGATATGTATTTGCTCTGCAGATCTGAGCATATGAGACTTTCCCGGGCCTTGAAAAAGCTAATGTTTGTGTGAGGAGGGCGAGATAAAAATATGTGGCCTAGGACACTGCAATGGGCAGCCCCTGCTAGGCTGTCACAGCAAGTCGTTGAGGATGTGATATTTAATAATGACCGGGTGGGAAAAGTAAATAATTTAATGTAAGTGTTGTATTTGTCATATTGGGTAATATAATAATGTTTTTATAATTATGTGTGCAGGTAGAATGGGAAGAAATGAAACCCACTGAAAAAGAGCTAAAGATGGACTCGGTTATTAAAGCATTGACAAGCAATTTTAATGAAGTTGATGTGAAGGAGGGAAATGATACTGATGATTTTGAAGAACGGGAATCTAGTAGAGTGATGGCCAAGGCAGTAAAGACAAGCAGTAAGGTAGGACAAAAAGGGCTGGTTGTGCAAAAAGGGAAAGCAAAAAGTAAAAAGATACCCGGAAATGAAGAGAAAGAAGATAAAGTGATGCACAATATCATGGCAGCGATTGTATCACAAGGAAAAAGACTAGAAAAGCTAGAATCTAAGGTGGATAAGTTGTGTGAGTTGCAAATGAAACAATCCAGCGTGTTGAACAAGTTTTGGCTAGTAGAGGCATGATGTGGAAGCCTAAAAAGATGAAGAAAGTGTCTAAGAAAGCAGCAATGAAAGATAAGGAAGACATGCCAAACTTTGACTTGGGTATGGAGTTTAATGAACATGTGGTCGAGGATAGTGAGCAAGGTAATGAGCATGATGAAGTTGAGGAGTTAGGTTGCGAGAGAGCGGAGACGGTTGATGAGATGGTGGACGATGATGTGCAAATGACACAAGATGACATGTTCAAGGAAATAGATGGATCAATGAACACCCAACAACTAGTGAAGAAGGTCGAATTGATTGAAAAGAATATGATGAATGATGAGACAAAGAAAGAAGAGCAGAATGATCTTCAGAGCTTTGAAGATATAGGAATGCTGGATACGCATCTGCTGTGTGCGGAGGTTGATGTGATTTTTGAGAAATACATGGGCAATAAGGAGGCATGCACATGGTGCAAGGAACTAATACATGGGCAATAAGGAGACATGCCCTCCGAAGAGGACATTAAAAACATAACACATGGTGCAGTGTGTGATGTGTGATTAAATAAAATTTCAAGCATTATATTTTATTAAATTTTAATGCACATAGTGCATTAAACATGTCGTTAAAGGAATAGTCATAGCATCCAATAAAAATTTTAATGCATAAGCCAGGGCAGTATAGCCTTTGCACAGAACTTACTGCAAAGCGCAGGGCATTATAAGAGTTGAACAAAGGGCATTGAAGCATATGTCCGAATTACAATACTGATTTCATTTTCCTTAAACTTTATTTTTTAAAAATAACAAAACAGTGACCCGATAGAATAACATCATAAGACCATTAATTATATATAACATGGACAATTCAAATATTTGTTTTTAAATAATACAACTTAGGGCAGTAATAGAAATGCATGTCACGTAACTTGGAGAAATGAATGCATACCTTTTCACTTGAATCAATGAGACTCCGTCAATGCGCACACCACGCACAGCCCACTTGCAGTCGGGGTCCACACACACAACATGCAAAATCTTCGGGCAAGATGTCTTCGTTCTATATTGAAAGAAGTTGGTAATGGCATACATCTTTAGGTGAAAATCAAGTTCCTTCTTGCTTCCATAGATACTATGCAATGCAATGCGCGTGAGTTCAAAATGGTTGAGGACCAAGAGCCCAGGGAGCACGATGAGGACGCCACGGCCGACCAGGTCGGCGGAGGGGACCTCTTCCAGGAGGCCTTCAACCTCACAACGGACCTCCGCAACCAACTCAACAGCGGAGCCCCTGATGCCCGCCTCGGCTTGGACAAGAAACGAGCTGAGAAGACGGATCACGCCCCGGCCCAGCCTATGGACGCGGCCTCTCCGTCCGTGGATCCACAGGTCCAGGCCGCGCTGTCGGCCATCATCGCCAGCCTGGCTCAGAACCCCACCGTCCTCAGCGCACTCTTGCCAAGGACCGGGGGAACGTCACTCAACCTCCTCAGCCCCAATCGTTGGCCGTCCAGATAGGCAACGATGAGGGGGTGGTGGCCCAGGACACGGCGTCGTCCCACTCCCACCCTGCTTCCCCTCTTCGGCCCAGGCAGACCCCAACGTGTGGAAAAGCCTCTGCCTTCAACAGGCTAGGCGACACGCGCCGTCGTCCGGTTTCAGAGAGGATGGCGGGACGGATTGGTGAGCCTCGTCCTGGCTCGCCGAGGGAAAGCTTGGGGTCTGTGTCCCGGACAGCGGACCAGCCCCGCCCGGACAAGGGCAAGGGGAAGTTGCACGAAGACGACGTGCGCCACCGGATCAATGCGGCTCACGACGAGCGCATGAGGAACCAGCCGGGCACCGCTGCGGCCGCCAGGGACCCCCGGGATGAAGTCATCGCCCAGCTGGAAAGGAGGCTTGCTCAGATGGAAGCCAAGCAGTCGGCCAACATCCCTACGGCCGGCGCCTCCAACGACCCCGGCCTCAACGCGCTCATGAACAAGGTTAGCGCCCTGGAGAGGGAGCTGGCCGAGGGGCGAGGTGACCCCATCATCCAGGTCAGGACCAGGACCCCTTTCACCAACAGGGTCCTCTCGGCCCCCATCCCGGAGAAGTACAGGGGGAACGCCATCAAGTCCTATGATGGCCGATCAGACCCCCAGGAACACTTCAGCCGTTATCAGAACAACATGCTGATGGTGAAACGCGTCCGACGAATACCTCTGCCGTTGGTTCCTCTCTACCCTCGAGGGGCCAGCGTACGAGTGGTTCAACGCGCTCCCCGAAGGGAGCATCGACTCGTGGCAGGATCTCGCCCAACGCTTCCTCACTCACTTTGCCGGGAGGAAGCGTGCGAAGAAGTATTTCACCCACCTTCTCTTCGTCAAGCAGCAGCACGAGGAGTCCCTCCGGTCATTCATTGATCGGTGGACGAGGGAAACCGAGGAGGTCGAGGGGGCCGATGAGCGCACCCTCCTCGCCTTGTACCAGGGAGCCCTCCGCAGCTCCCCGTACGCTAGGAGCCTTATCACCGACCCTCCGAGGTCGTACGCCAAGGCGCTCCAGCGCGGAGGCTTGTACGCCGACGCCGACGAGCTCCATAATTACAAGAAAGAGGGGGGCCATCCCTCCAAGAAGACAAATCCTTCGCCGGCCCCGGGTCCGTCCCCGGCCGGCCAGGGTGCCCAGGGCCGTCACGGCTCTGGTGGACAGAGTAAGAAAGATCGCCACTGGCGACCGAGGTTGGAACGGCCGGGGGTCTCCCTCACTCACCCGATCGGCACCATCCTCGATTATGCCGAGAAGCACGGCCTCATCGAGCAGGCTCCTCGGCCGGCCGAGGAGATCCTTGCCATCCAGCAGGGCGGCACATACTGCCGGTTCCACAAGAACTCGTCGCACAACACCGACGACTGCATCACACTGAAGAAGGCCATCGAGCGGCTTATTCGACATGGGGAACTCTCCCAGTTTGTTAAAGGTGGCCCACGCAAAAACACATGGGTAAACACCAGCAAACATGGGGGTGAACCCTCTGCGAAGAAGCAGGAGATTGGTAGGCTCAGCGATGACGAGGACTTCGATGAGCCCCCGCCAAAGAAGAATCACATTCACCTCATCGTAGGTGGAAACACTGGGGGGGACTCCGCCACTCAGAGAAAGAAATGGGCCCAATCCCTCTACATAGAGGAGGTGTCCCACGTTCACCCCCCTAGCCGAAGAAGCAGCGGACGGAGGCGATCACCTTCACCGACAAGGATTTGCCTCCGGGTACGGAATCACACAGGGACGCCCTCGTCATCTGGTGTGAGATCGGTGACTCCATCATCCACCGCACTTACATCGATACGGGGAGCTCCGTCAACGTGATGTACCTGGATACCTTCAGGCAGCTGAAGCTGGACAAAGCTCTGCTGAAGCCGATCAAGACACCGTTATCCGGCTTTACCGGGGACTCTATCGACGCCGAGGGCACGATAGTCCTCCCCGTGGAGGTCGGTGACGGCCCCCACCACGCCAAGATTGACATGGAGTTCATGGTGGTCAACCTCCAGTGCGCCCACAACCTGATCTTGGGGCGGCCAGCGCTGGAGGACTTAGAGGCCATCATCTCCATGAAGCACTTATGTCTGAAGTTCCCCACCAATGACGGCATCGGCTACGCCAGAGGAAACCAGAGGATAGCCAGAGCATGCTACCTCAAGCTGACAAGGCCGGCTGAGAGGGAAGGCCAGAGGATAGACACCATCACGGCAGCCGTTGCCAAGGACGAGGAGAGGCCACGTGCGGACCCGGCCGAGGAGGTCGAGGAAATCCCTCTGGATACCTCCCGGCCGGAGCGGGTTCTCAGAGTCGGGAAGCAACTCCCTCCTGACCAACGAGACGCCATCCTCCTCGTCCTGCGGTCATACGCTGTTGTCTTCGCATGGGGCCCGGACGACATGCCAGGCATCAGCCGCCAGGTGATTACTCACCGGCTGACCGTCGATCCGGCCTCCACGCCCGTCAAGCAGAAGCGGCGCTACTTGTCCGCCGACAGGCGGGACTTCGTCAAAGGGGAGGTCGCCATGCTCCTCTCAATCAAACACATTAAAGAAGTGAAGTACCCGACGTGGTTGGCCAACGTCGTCCTCGCCCAGAAACCACCAACATTCAGGATGTGTGTTGATTACACTGACCTGAACAAGGCGTGCCCCATGGACCCGTTCCCTCTCCCCAACATTGATCAGCTGGTGGACGAGATGGCGGGGTGCGAGTTGATGTCGTTCCTCGATGCTTTCAGAGGGTACCACCAGATCTCCATGAATGAAGATGATGCTGAGAAGACGGCATTCATGACCCCAGAGGGAATCTTTTGCTACCTCGTCATGGCCTTCGGACTCAAAAACTCCGGCGCCACCTATACTAGGATGGTGCCCAAGATCTTCAGGGCGGTCCTTGGCCGGACGATGGAGGCATACGTTGACAACATGATCGTCAAGAGCAGGCAGGCCTCCTCCCACGCCGACGACCTCCGGGAAATCTTTGAAATCATGAAAGAGTTCAGGCTCCGCCTCAACCCCAAAAAGTGCGCCTTCGGCGTCCAGGGCGGCAAGTTCCTCGGCTACATGGTCAACCGAAGAGGCATCGAGATAAACCCAGAGAAGACACAGGTTATCATCAACATGGAGCCGCCCCGCAACGTCAAGGAAGTACAGCGACTGACGGGGCGCCTGGTGGCCCTGAACCGGTTCCTCTCCAGGTCAACCGAGAGAGCACTCCCCTTCTTTCAGATCATGCGTAAAGCCAACAGCTTCAAGTGGACGACAGAGTGCCAGGAAGCATTCGACGAATTGAAAAGGTACCTGTCGTCCCCACCCGTGCTCTCCAAGCCCAAAGCCGGCGAAACCCTCTTCCTGTACTTAGGGGTGAGCACATCGGCCATCAGCTCCGTGCTCATCCGTGAGGACGAGGGGGTGCAGAAGGCCATCTTCTACATCAGCAAAACGCTCAGGAAGGCCGAGATCAGGTACTCCCCCATTGAGAAGACGGTGCTGGCCATCGTCCATATGGTAAAGAAGCTGGGGCACTACTTCCAGGCCCATGCCGTCCATGTGCTAACCCAGCAGCCTCTCGGCGCACTCATGAGGAGCCCCACCAGCTCCTCTAGGATGGTGAAATGGGCGATCTTCCTCATCCAGTTTCAAATTGAGATCAAGCCAAGGCCGTCTATCAAAGGGCAAGCCTTGGCCGACTTCGTCACTGAATGCACAACAAGGGAGACGGACGTCGCCAACCCCGGGCCGGAGCCGGACGATACATGGATCATATTCACTGACGGCTCGTCGGCCGCGAAGTCATGCGGTGGTGGCGTCGTCCTCATATCCCCTGAAGGATTCAGAGCTTACTATGCCATCCGCTTCAACTTCAGGGTATCCAACAACGAAGCCGAGTATGAGGCCCTCCTCAGCGGTCTCAGACTCGCCGCCGGCCTCAAGGCCAAGCACCTCAAAATCAAGTGCGACTCCAAATTGGTAGTGGGCCAGGTGGAGGATCGTACGAAGCAAAGGAGGGACGGATGCGACAGTACAGACAAGCAGCAGAGGAGCTGCTGAAGGCATTCGAAACCCACGAGATCACACAGATCCAAAGGGCCGAGAACGCCGAGGCCGACATCCTCTCCAAACTCAGCTCGGACACCCCGGAGCACATCTCCCAGCTAGCCAAGATCGAGGAGTTGAG